TTTAATTTGAAGCAGCAAATACTCTCGGCTAGTATCTAATAAACAAACAGGTGGAATCAGGTACCGGGGCGGACTCCCCTTTGCAACTTTACGGCCATACCTTGGCCGATACAGTAATGTCATTCTCAGCCGAACAAGATACTGACTCCATGGATGTAGAGTCTCTCTTGAAAACACCGGAGTCTGGAGCAAATGAGCAGGATGACTCCAGACGTTCTTCATTACTGGCGGATTCCCCGTTAAACGTCGACAACCGTTCTCCAACTCCCTCCATGATGGACACCACGGAGCATACATGCCTAACTCCTCATTGGATACAGCGACAAGCAGCCAAGCATCGAAGTCGACAACAGTTGCTCCAGTTCATCGACCTTGCTCTCCTCCTCTCTGGGTCGCGGCTATCGCCTCTAAATCACTACAATTACACCGTCTACGATACTTCAATGTAGCAACTGCACTACAACCCCCCTCAAGAGGAGCTTCTGTTTGGGGTCGTGGTACATGTGGCGTCCGCTCGGCACCCCATTTTCAACTCCGTTCTTCATCTACAAGGCTTCGGCGGGGACGCCCGTTGGCATCAACTGGACTGTCTAGACAGGATGCTGCCCTTCGCGAAAAGACGAATGGCACGACTGGAAAAGTGACCTTCCGGAAAGAACTCCCGAGGGCTGTACACACCACTTGGCTCCGTGGGCACCCTTAGTACGTCCCCGTCCTTCTCGTTACGCAGACATCAGGAGCGAGTGGGTCACGAGTGAGCTACCCATTGACCAATACAGGCCTGTTCCTCCAGTCGGCTACCACGCGACTCGTTGGGTTCGATCACTCTTTCCCGTATTTATCCGCGACCTCCCTAGCACGTCCAACAAGATCCCCGTTATGGAACTCCAGACACTAAAAGCTGCAATACACTTCCGAGAGAAGTCTGCGGCAATTATTCGCAGCACCTTAGATGGTCAATATCACGAGCCTGTGCGCGAGAACCAGCAGACCCCCCTCAAGTCATATTCATCAACACTGGCTCCTCCTCGCAGCGGCGGTTTTCATCCGGTGCTTTATCAAGTAGTCGCGGTTGGTTACGGCAACGGTGTTATCTTAGAAGCTAAAGATTTCTTCGTGGTAGGGCCCGACAGACGGGATCTACATTGCATCGTTCTCGAGCAATACGCCATTGATTTAACTACGAACATGCGAGGTTTCGATCGATCGCCGATATCGGTTCAGGACTTATTATGGATCTACTCTGTCACTCCCACTGGGCGGCACTTCAAAATCCAACATCAATTCTGGAAAGGCCTCGCATCCCCCGAGCTACAGCGATGGAGTCGTCGTCGGTATATTTCTTCCACGCGGACCGATTCGCATTCGTGACACCCCATGTACGTCACAAAACCACCATCGGCATGGTTGTCCACCTTGCAGTACGGGCAGGTCGCGTCACAAAGTTTCTCGCCGTATTTGAAGGCGCCCCAGAGGCAGCAGTGGTCACTCCCTCTCTGTGTGACACTGACCACGAGAACGTCTACAAATACTCACTTTTCTCGCTGAAACCAGAGTCAACACGTCATATGCGATGCGAATTTCTGAACCACCGGTCTCACAACGAGCGCGAGACGAGCTTTGTGAATTAGTTCGTCAGTTCTTACTCCTCAACGCGAGCGAAGGAGTATTACCCCTCCGCGTAATGAACCTCCGTCCGACGGACAAGGAGTGGTCAACGGACCGCGCCAACAACTTCGACAGCTACACCACCGACACAGCTAGAGCCAAGCGTAAGATGGGACAGCTTTTCAACGTCTCATGTTCAACCTTAGCAGCTATAACAACAATGTTCGACGACAGATCCGTCCANGACATGGCGCACGAAGCAGGATGGGGCAAGGGACGTCTCCTCGATTTCTGGGTCACAGGAGCGGACCAAACGGTGAAAATGCATGTGGACTCTGTTTTTTCAATGCGAACAGTAAACAGCTCTCGATACGAATTGCCGGCTTCACATGGAACCACGAAAGTGTACGTCTCGCCAAACCCACGAAATCAGCAAGCCCAGCCAACGAAGCCATATCCAGGATGCTCCACATTGTCACCCAGGTCGAGACCAACACCGTTGGACATCAGATCCTAGACCTCGTCTATCGTAATTCAGCGGCTCCTTTACCCAACCCACCCCAAAAACTGGATGAGCCCACCTCTTCGGTTTCACTCCTGGATCCTTTCCGGCTCAAACAACAGCGTATCTCATTGACACCGGACCCGCGAAGTTCACTAGAACTTGGAATGGCGAATCACCCAATCGCGGAAATACAGGCCGCTTTCGGTACCGGCAAAACTATCTTAGGTGCCATTATCGCAGGACTTTCAGCTCAGCAGAAAAGAGGACCAAAAATAGTCACGGCGACAACCAACAACGCCGTGGCTCACTTCACGAACACGATGCTAGCCCTCGATAAATTTCAGCACATCCGACTCAAACGATACATATCGGAATCGGCGTTCCTTGACGAAACCTCATCCACACCAGTCGATATTCACGAATTCTGAAATCACTGAGCAAAGATTTCGAAGAAAAGATTTCCGGATAATGTTCACAGTACGACCCCCAGACGTGCTCGTTTTGATAACGGCATCACTTCTAAACACTACGGCCAAGGGAGGAGTTTCAAGAACAATATCACAGACCGTAAAATTATTATCATTATCGCAAGTACCAGAACCCATGTTGGCATGCCTCATAACCATGTTCCCGACGCTCGCCAGCTCTACATCGGAGACATAAACCAAATGTGTCCTCACGTCAAATGCCCCAGCGATGCGAACCCAGCGTTATCCGGCGGTCAAAGCATTATGTCCGTGCTTGAGCGGTCATCAGGGATCCCCAAGGCAGCTTTAGTGACTACTTTTAGAGCCCACCCAGCTCTTAACGAGCTACCATATCTTCTCTCCTACGGTGGCTCATTGCTCAGCGGAGTGACAGCGAGGGAACGACGCTTGCCTCTAGACCGTGTCAAGTTCCCAAATCCTCACGTTCCATTTGCTTTGATCAATGTCGAAGGAAACTCAGTACGGGCTCCTACGCGTTCCCATCTTAACGACGAGGAAGCGGAATTTTGCGTCTCGCTAATGGACCACTTACTACAACATGGTCTCCAACCTAGTCAGCTGTGCGAAGTCACCTTTTATCGCGGACAATTTCAACTACTAGCTGACTTCGCATCGGAGCGAAACATCGAAATCGCCACAGTAGATTCTATTCAGGGACGAGGAACCGAGGTGGTCATCCTCTTAACCACGCGCATTGGCTTAAAACCCGAAACCGCCACTTTCATTGATGATCCTCTTCGCCTGAACGTAGCAATTACACGTTGCAGAAGCGGCCAATTCATCCTCGGTCATGTACCCACCCTTCGAACCCTACCCAACTGGGAAATGTTGGTCAAGTGGGCTGATCGGCTAAATGCCGTCGTCCCCTCTACCCGCCTGAACGATCTATTCTCAATCTACGGAACCCTCCAGGATCTCCACTGATGTAGTCCGAACTAACGGCACGCATCCATTCCTCTNCACCCCTTTCTAGCCCAGGTAATACTATGTTTTCAAGTCCGGGACGGACTTTTTTGCGGTCGGGAAGGTGTAAAGGAGGACATTTCTAGTTCAGTTACTGTAACCACTATTTCTAGTGTCTCTCAACTATTTCTCTCTTCTAGATCCGAGCACTGATATGACGAGTATGCAAGGAGGAGCTGCATGGGAATGGCAACAGCGACGGGCGGAGAAGCTGGATGCATTCATGGGCTGACGACGACGGAGCAGGGCCTCGACCGCAGTGATCTGTTCAGCTATCTCGTATATCGTATTCCTGTCAACCCAGTTCTCTGGGACGTTTAATTCATAAATGTTTCCATTACCTTCTTGCGTACCTTGCACTTTCTGGCCAAAACGATAGTGCTAAAATCAAAGCTCAAGCACGTCGTGAGGAATCTTTTGAGAACGAAGGAGAAGCTTGGGATGTGGAGGGATTCAGTTGCTGATGCTAAAATTGAAAGTGTCCTTGGAAGCGACGGATATTTCGAGGGCAACAGAAGGAGCTGGGTCCCGTACAGGACGGCTATTGGTGTAATCCTCAGTGTGCTTTTTGTCAACGACAAAATGGTACGTGAGGTAAACCGCGTCGTCAAGAACTCTCAGCTTCACATTCGACTTGTTTTCCGACCTCCCCCTACACTGAAGGATCTACTAACATCGTTCCGAGTCTACGAAAAATGGTGGCGTAAAACAGTCTTGTCATTACTGCACTTCTTAGAAGATCTGTGAACTTCGGGGCACCGTCTGTTTGATACAATGTGGGGGATGTGGAGAAAAGTACGTGGGGGAGGCCGCGAGACCACTAAAGATCCGTTTGGATGAACATAGAAGAGAGCTGGCCAATCCCGCTGCCTATGCGCACAGCAGTTTTTCCAGGCACACAACTTTTCCACACTTAGGCATGAGGAAGAAAACGCTCCATCCCCACCTTCCCCCCCCCCCCCCCCCCTCCTCAATCTCAATATTTCCGATTGACCTGGTATGATTCTATGTGTTTTGTATTGTAACTGATAGTGACTGTGTGCAGCAATATCCTTCTTATATATAAAGCAGTAACTTGGTTTGTCGGTTTGTCGGTATGTCGGTTTGTCTGTATGTCGGTATGTCGGTATGTCGGTATGTCGGTTTGTCGGTCTGTCCGTCCGGGTTACTTTGTGATTATGATAAAGATAGTGATATGGAAAACTTATTCTTCTTATATAAAAAGCAGTCACTTTGTGGGTAGGCTAATGGAGTAAAGTGAGCACTGCGGAGTGAAGTGAGGTGGATGATTCAAATTGTGATCTCTACTGTACTGTAATGGCAGTACTTCGACACTGGTATTGTAAATAATTAAGGTGCGACGAAGGCATTATATGTCCTAAGCTCACCATAAAGGTGAAGAACAAAGAGCTCCGAAAAGTACACAAAACGACAACAAGTCTAAATGAGGCTCAGAGATAGCAGTATTTTAGAATCATGAAGCAATCAAATCAAAAAGAACTAAGCCGCTGTTTTTACCAAGTCTTGCCTCAACTTTGTTGCGAGCAGGGCCTAGCGTTGGCTGAGCAATCCGATTAGTTACTCGATAAATGCAACTCTTTTTCGTGTCCTATGTCAGTCTGGTATCCTAACTCTGCTGTAAGAATGAAGGCAGAACGATATGAGCCACATGATCAGGCTGATAGAGGTTAATATCTTACGATTCTGAATGGGAACCAGAACTCACCTCTAGAACCTTAGTTTCACTATAAAATCGGAAAATGTAAAAGGAATTTCAACAGATATCGTTTTCTTGAGATTCTCATCTTCTACATATAGTCTTCACTCAGTTTAAGAGCTAGTTAATGGTTACCCTACTTTCTCTATCATTTCCCGAACCCGGAAAAATACATGAGCTCCTAACAGATTAGACAGTGTTCCCTGGAATAGCTTTCTGTTCACTCTGAAGAAGGTAGCGAGCTCACAACATTAAAGATGTTCTGAATACGAATGAGCATCCTTTACGACTTCCCAGCTTGAAGTTTTTGGTGTGAATTCGAAAATTGATAGTTCATCTCCTCTACCTACCTCATTCCTCACCGCGATGAAAAAACCTTGTTCCACGATGAGCAGATAAGCATGAATTATGATAGTGTTCGCTATATAAATGTGGTCAACTTCATTTTTCACTCTTTCATGTTACTCGATTCGATGTGGAATGAAGTGCGCGATCTGCTGTGAGGACAGAGCAGCTACCGATATGCAGGTGAGCTTTGACCTCTCAGGCTCTGAGATGATCGTTTAATCTCTTTGTTGGTTATTAGTCATCAGATGACGAATGCAGTCATTGCACTCTCCCAAGAATGTATTCAAAATATTTTATGTATATCTTTGTTTGACGGAGAGAAAGTCTGCCAATAGGCTGTATGGCTTCGCATGCGCAACTTTTTCACCGCAGTTGCATTGTGTTTCACTAATGTTTGTTCCTACAAAATCCCCATGATTTGTGAATGATAGTTCTGCTTTCAGGAGCTTAACTGCAAGCACAATTTTTGTGTGCAGTGCTTGGCACAATGTTCAGGTGATTCTGATCTTCAAAAAGTTTTTTGGATTCTCCTGAACAGATCCTCCCAGCTCTAGTTGCCTGCACCGAAAATCCCATTGTGCATGAGCAGCACAATGTGATTGCTCGTGCAAAGTGGAAATCTGCTTTAAACAACTAAAACTGCAGTCATTGACTCCTCTTATTCCCAGTCATTTTCGCCCAGTATAAGCCTTTATGAGAATCTGATATTACTTTATTCGGATCTGTGTCTAATCAGTTCTGCTTCTGAGCGAAGTTCCATCGACCCTGTACTGAATGTCATCATGATGTGTCTAGTATCGACAACGCACTTTAGATGGCGTGTACGAGCGGTCTTCCAAATCGGTTTGGTCTGCATCACCTTAATCTCTTATACAAAGCGCTCGCGTCCGTATATCTGTCTGTCTGTGTGTCTGTCTGTCTGTCTGTCTGTCTGTCTGTCTGACGCGGAATTCGATATTACTTGAAGAAACACCTAGAGAGGTCGGGTCAAATTCACAATGAATTGAACATAAGAGCTCCGCCCCCTACCTAGCGAAGCTTCGCCCACGATGGGCTGGAGTGGGTTAAAATGGAAGCCGCTTTTTAGGAATGAATGTGGCTTCGTTTGGAAACGCTCTAGAATGCAGGAAAAAAGAGGTGGGATGTAAGACAAGAAGTGTGGTCTAATCCCAAGGGTGGGCGGGGCTTGCACTAGGGTGGGCAGGGCTCAGATCATATGTTCATAGCTCTGTGCAGAAACGTTTCCAGAATGCGGAAAAAGTGGTCAGAGGTAATGTTAGAAAGGTGTTCAAGTCACAGAAGCGCACAGGGCTTGCACTAAGGTGGGCGGGGCTAGGATGAAAAATTGTAACTAAAACTCAAAAACGGTTTTGAAGACGGGAAAAAGGTGGTTAGAGGTTATAGAAGGGGCGTAATCAAATCCCTCACTCGGGCCCAGTCTACACAGGGTAGGGCGAAGCTAAGACCAAGAACTCATAACTCTGTTTAAAAACTTTTTAGAATCCAGAGGAAATTGTTAGGGGTTACTAACAAGGGAAGGATCCCAAGTCGAAGTGGCCATTTGAAATGAGACCAATACTGCTAGACGTATTTTTTGATGCTGATTTCAAATCTGCATTCAAAATCTGCCAAATGATTCTCTGGACGAAGTTATGGAGGGTGGTCTCCGGAGAGCGCTCAACAGGAGAAAGCACAAAAGCCATGGTCGCTGGCAGTCTAGCAGTGGCGGCTTAGAGTGGAGGTAAGTGCGACGCTTCATTTCGAATGCAGATTTGAAATCAGCATCAAAAAATACGTCTAGCAGTATTGGTCTCATTTCAAATGGCCACTTCGACTTGGGATCCTTCCCTTGTAAGAGAAGAATGATCAAAGTTCCTAGCGAGGAGGGGCTGCACTGAGATGGACGGGGCTAAGATCATCATTAACTCTGCTCCAATGACATGCATATATCGATGCGCATGCATAGCATGCGTTAGCGTGCATAGTCCAACTGGTATTTTATGAAAATTCAAATATTCCCCACGAAATAATGAACCACTTTCTTTATTTGATGAGAAGAACGCCATCGAGCTTGAAGTCACAGAATTTTATTCCATCTCACCAACTTAGCTAGAAATCTGAGAACTCATGGTTCGTCGGCGGGAAAAGCCGGAAACGAGTTTGTTTGAACCACAGCGAATCGGAAAACATCGTCTGGGTTGCTCCCACATGAGCTCACTGCTCTTCGCCGTCCTTACGCAACAAAATGATGATAAGAGATGACATAGAAGGATTCATGGACTCCGACGAGTTTCAACAGCGTTGTAGAAGATGCACTTTCTCTTTCTTCGCTAAGTTGACAAATTTTTTCGCTTTCTTCGCTACCGATGCACTATTCTCTACCGAAACTTAAAGTTGAATTGGTTGCCCTTCTCCATGATGCCTTGTCAAGTTTTGGGAAGAGAACTATAGGGACAACATATCCACTCTGCCTAAAATGTAAATAGCACCGCAGACGTGGCTGTTGAAAAGATTCGAGTGAAAAACTTCCTCCAACGCTTATCGAAATAATTAATTTTTCCGTCATGATAACGAGAGGAAGTTGTTTTGGATTGTTAAGGGCCTGGGCAATGCAGATGCTTAGGCATTGCGGGTTCGGCGGTATCAACCAGAGTTGATAATCTTGTCTTTTCGATCTTCGCTTCTTAGCACCCTTCACAAATTCATACGTTAGTCGATTGTTGCCAGTAGCCCGCACGGATCGAATAGTTCCACACTGGCATATAAGCTGAGGAGTCTTCAGGAAAGACTTATCTGCTGGCAGCTTGTAGACTATTTACTTTCCTAGCACTGACAATCGAGTCTCGACAAGCCGGTCGCGTTCCTCATCGATATTGTCGATAACGAAACATAAACTCGCAGGTGACCATGGTTGCTGAAGGTCTTCGGCATTCGTTTCTTAACTTCAGCAGCTTCCCCTCGAGCATTAAAAACCAGAGTCTGGCACGGAGGAGACGATGCTCTGCTTCCATGTAGAAGTCGGAACAACAGCGATGTCAGTCATTGAAACTTTTGATTGAAGATGACTTGATCGATTTAATCATGGAACTGTCGACTGTCGACAGGTGACTCGAGTTCATCTCATGAAAGGGCCTTCATATCTGCTGGACCGACATGATGAATTCTAGAAGTGATAGTGATTTCATCCTGCTCATTCTATTCCGTTCTATAAGTCATGATGTGAAGCTTTTGACCGTTCTCCTGAGGCCAAACATTTCGTTGGAATCACCAACAATGACCTTGAAGAATGAGCGATCCTCCCTAGTGGGCTTTTCCAGATCCATCTGAAACTCTTCCATTTCTCTTTTTACGTTCGTAGTAGATGCATCAGCGGCGAAGAATATTAGGGCTGGGGCTGCGCCTCATCTTTCTAACCGCAAACGTTCGACTCAGGTTGTTAAGTTTTCGTACGTAACGATGTTCACGGCCATGGGTGTGTTGAATAGAACACCAGCATGGTCAAAGTCCCTGCTGTTGCATGTTTCGCCTTCTCGTCTCTATCAGTCCTATGCCGTCGTACTTGACTATCCTAGCTTGCTCCATCAGATGAATTCTTCAAAACACGCTTCCTATGCAAGCATTTGTGCATTGAAAGTACAAATTTCCATTCTAGGTCTTCTCCATTCAAGTAGTCATTATCTTCAACCCAGTCTCTTCGAAAGGCCCAACCGCACTTACACGGGGGGCTCCATCAGATCTATAATAGTAGAATAAGGCCCATTCATGTTAATGTTTTGATCATTGAGTAATCACAGTAACTTGCGAGGTTCCAGTGCGAGGGAAAGTATAAATAGACCAAACACAGCAGATAGAGGAATTCATTCTGTAAATTCGCCTTTTGGTCAGCCTTTGATTACATAGTTTCGCACGTAGGTCGCACCATGTAGTTTCATCGCTGACTAGATATTCTCCAATGAAAGAGAAACGTCAGCAAGGAAGATCTGCTGTTGCAATGTTGAGTAAAATTGATAATGGTAAATCTGACGTGAGTACAATGCCAAGTTACAACATTTCAGGGACACTCTGCCCTGCACCAGCTTGTTCTGGAACGCGATCCTCTGACGTGATCGTTGATGAAATGGCTGGTATGGCAACAAATTATAGCAAAAAACTAGGGCATCGAAGATTCGGTTATATCTTTAGGTGTCGAAGGAAATACGGTCACCCAAATATCTTTCGGAACTCTTACGCTGTCTGTGCTCGACCTAGATGAACGACAAAGGTATTCCTTTCTTTCAGCTTCCATCTGGCCTAGCATAGTGAAGCATCGAAAATTTTCCGACTTCCTTGCAAGTGTTGCCATACCCATCGGCTTATTGAGAAGAAGAACTAAATTTGGACTTTATCGTGTTTCAGATGTGAGGCTCGCCGCGGAGCTTTCGCATGTGTGAATGTAGCACGAATGCATCTTATCAATTGTCGTCATCGCTTTTGTTACGATTGTCTATCTGAAAAAATTGACTGCGATGTGTACCACCGTAAGCTCGTCACTATTATTCAAGTTTGCATGACAATTATTAAAGTTACAAAGTTCAAACTCTGAAAAGAAAATAAGACTCTTGTCTGAAAAGTTGACGTTTATTCAAGTACTGCAGTAAATGTGACATGCCATACAACAAGGAACGTGACTGATATAATGATTATGCAAAATAAACAGACGAGAGACAAAGTGTTACTTTCGTTCAAGCATGGATGAATTGAACTCAATGCGGTCATTCCCTTCGTGTCAACGTTGGACGTTGGATAACCGCCTTTTCTCGTGAAAAGGAGTATGGTATCTAAGGTCAAAATCGTTATCTTGACTTCCTCCTAGCTTGTACCTTCCGAGTGGCGTTAGTACTCCTTTTCCTAGATGTATGCCTTTGGCTAGTGTCCTGCAGTCTTCCCATCTTACCAATATATATTTGTTCACAGATTGAACACTGAAACTGATATACCGTCCCTTATTGTGGGCAACCACCAGCTCTTTCAAATGGACAAATGTCGAAGTTGCTTGTGAATCAGCACGGTAGTGAAGCGTTTTGCGAGCTAGCATTAGTTGACGTTATTGTCCCCGGTAGGGTTTCAAGACACGTTGCCAGCCAAACCTACAGTGCAATGCATTTCCACGCTAACTTTGTCGAGTATGATAACAAGCCGGAGATTGTGTCGTTAAGGAGAATACTTTCTGAGCCCGATATCACGTCTTGTGTCCCATGTCCATTCAAATCTCCAATTTTAAATGATGTTTCACGTGACTTCTCCTACTCTACTTCGCCTGTTCATACTCCTGTAGTGTTCTGTACGTGAAGGATAGAAATTTAAGCCTTGGCCTAAATCAGTCCTATTTTAAAGTGCCGCCCCGCATTCGACTTCCATTCAGTACCGTAGTAATAGCGCCCCATATTAGACTACCTCGATTCCTGTTCTGTACATTTTACAAAAAGCAGCACATTTCACAACCACTGGGTGGGCAGACTTTGCGTGGAGAAGTACGATAATTTGGCTGTTCTTTTTTTGTCCTCTTCCCACTACATATATTCCACTTGAGATGTTTATCTGCGTGCTATGAAACTAGGGTTCATAGTTCCCCCATTCTAATTCGTAGACTTCGCAGGCAGTTTCTTGCTTCAATATTTTCATGTTGAAGTCATATATAGGAAAGATGGATGGATGACAGTGTAACAGTAGCAATCTACGCAAACTTTTTGCCGCCCTTATGTGGAGTCAATAAATGAATTATTCATTTCAATAAAATTGCATATCGTACAATTTTAGGAGACGTGCCGAGCTGTCCTTTGGCCTACTGCTGTAATCGGATTTCGCGCTCTGAAATACGCACACTGGCCCACCGCTCAGTACATCTGAAAAATCTCTGCGCTGCTGCCGAAAAGCTCGTCTCTGATCCTCCCAATGAAATGGCAGCGGTAAGAATCATTTTTTGATGGCTACGCCAGTCAAAAAAACAAGCAACGTTTAACAAAACTATTAGAGCTTCTTAGCCACTGCCGAAAAAATGTAGGTTCGACTTGAAGACTTCACGACCGCAGCACCAAACACCCAAGCAGTATTCCCATCAACACCTTCAATTGTGTTAGTTTCTGGTCTTTTCGGTTTGAGCATATTGAACGTTCGAAATAGAAATTACAAGCACTGACTATAACTGGCCTTGGATTATCCAGATTATGACGAAAGAGAAGGTGGAAAATAGAGCGATGAAAGCGAAGAAAGTGCGCAAATGGGTGTTTCCAAAGTGATAAAAGGCTTCGAAAAAATCGTCAAAAAGGCTGGACGAACAAAAATTAAGTAGAAGGGATGTCTGGACGAGCTATACAACGTGTGTTATTGCGTAGATGTGGGTCCTAGCACGAATATGTGATCATAATAAGCGAAAATGCCCTTTAGAATTCATTCACTCATAAGCAAAAGTTGACAAAAACACTATTTACACCAAAAATAGCCCACCTTTTCCGTCCTTTCGAGCTGAGGAAATAGCTTAAAGAACGCAGCAGCAAAAAGAATAAAAGAACAGGAAAAAAGATTCCCTCATAACTAGGCGATAAGCTGATTGTGTGTGAGTTCTGGAGCGAACATTGCAATCTGTATCGCCTCGACACTCGTGTGACACATCATCAGTCGATGGGCGTGGCATCCGGCCGATCCGGTAAAGGGGCTCCCTAGCTTTTATACCCTAGCTCTTGAGTGTTTGGCCCCGACAACGTCATTCCTGTTACTCTTGGGGACCGTGGGTAATCCTGAGGGAAAATCTAAAACCATTTTTATCGTGAACCATGCCTCCAATAGCTGAAATGATTATGAACTTATGAGTTTTTGGGATTCATAGCTGCATAAACCAGTGAAGTTAGTGAGACTTCGAATTTGGTTCATCTTGCATCGATTGACACCTTTATGCTTTGATACTTATGTTTTTCGCTTAACACAATGGCGGCAAAACTGTGAATGTTGCCAATTATCGGAAATAAGACTTATCAAATAGAGCATGAAAGTTGACGAAATAAGATTTTAAAAAAGGATAAAGCTCTTGGCGTTAATCAATCCCGTCTGGGGATGCGTCCCCGCACTCGACTTCCATTCAGAATCGTAGTGGCGTAATGAGTGTGGTGGCCAGCCGATGCACAAGTCAGTGCTTTTATCCTCCCAGACGAGTCTGGTACCAATTCACCGACCCCGGAGGGATGGAAGGCTTGATTGGCCTAGGCGGACACCGATCCGGGATTCGAGCCCCTGACCGTGCGTGTGATATAGTGCGCCTCTTGCCACTACACCACCTCCACCTGACGAAATAAGATAGACCAAATAAAATCGTTGACGATTAGGTAAATAATTAACCCATTGACGACCGCATGGCCCCCACACCATATCATGCTCCTGTAGTATTTATATTATTTATCAAGTGTTATTCTAATTTTTTCATGTTTTCAAGTATTAGCTGAGCTCACAGCCTTCTAGAGATTCTTGAGACATAGTGGTCCAAGAGTCATTCATTTCTAACTACAGTTATAAGAGAAATTAAAAGGTAATGTAAGGACTATATAAAAGGCGCGGTCGCCAATGGGTTAATGATATGTTTTAAGGGTGCGATATACATGACAGCATATCTACGTTTCAGCAAATCTAGTAAATCTGACTGGTTCTCAGGCTCTCAATCGTTTTTCAGACGCTTAGTTGTCAGTTCTCAAGAAAGGCATAACTGGCAACGCTTTTCCATTCTTGTTTTTATTTTCTATGATGATCAAAGTGTCTAATTACGTTACAATCAAGATATGACTTCTGTTTCACACGTTGTCATATACAAAGTAAATACTAGGATCGCTCTTCGGTGCTATGTTTAGAGCAAAGAAGAAATAATTGTCGAAAGTTATTTGTACGGAAGAGAAGCCACTAACAAACGAATAATCATTCCCAAGATATGTTTCGTCGGTAAGATTTTAGTAGAAAAAAAGGATCAGTTGTAAAGGTGCAACTTTCTTAGTGACAATCTTGAGCTGAGTGCAGGAAAACTGAAGCGGTTTATTTTACCAAACTTGACATGCCTGGAAATGTGCTGCTAAAGTTTGCTGCCTTTGCCGATAGCGCTACCAAAATTTTCGCTCTGTCATTCTTGAAGCGGGGTACAAAAACCAACGTAGGCCCCCTCTGATAATTTTTTCAGGACAAGGGCTTGCCATAAGTGGAGCCCGGGATATGTCGAACTTCACTCCTCCCTATGGCTAAAATGGAGTGCTTGCCTGATTCGCCACTTCTCTTCCAAGAACGAATGGTTGAATTCTAAGCCCAAATTTTTCGAACGGTATACCTTAGAGCAACTGGGCACTGGACACACAACCCAGAAGAAGACGTTTCCTTCTGAACTGAGCAACGAAAATGTTACTCAGTTCTTGATGATACTTACGTCTATGACCAGGATTCGACCTCTTCCTCTTGTTGTGCCCCACTGGTACGGCAACTTCACTACAATTGAGCAACCTGATTATTCAACTACAGTTTCAAAAGGGTACTTACTGTTGTTGTCGATGGTGATATCAATGTTATCAGAACTCGTTAATATCTTCCCTCCAAGATGCAAGTATCGGACGAAACGCCTAGAGGACACTGTTGCTTTCGCCTTATGAAGTTCCTTATTGTCCTTCCTTGTGACTGTTATCAACTTCTGCCATCAGCCATCTTCGACCCATCGCACCTCGAATCACTCATCGGATTATCAAGATCAACGGTCAACTAGCGTAATGGACCTGGTAGCTTCATGACAATATGACTCCTTATCAGTAGTAATCGGCTGTCACCTTTTTTGTCAGGAGCCGTGCACGTTCCGGTCATATCAATACACATTACCCACCAAAGAAGCTGGAAGCTTTGAGGGCGAAAGGTGCAGCTATTCCAGTGACTCTTGCCTCCTTGGGCTTACTACCGACCCCTACCCGGTTTCTATCATTTCGTGTCACCGTTCGACACTCTTTCCACTCTGTTCCATTTACCCATCAACTTCGAATATTCTAAAAACATTATGTTAGAGATATGACTTCCAATACAAAATCAAAATACACACCCAGGCACACACACCACACACAACCCTATAACGGCAGACACACAAGCACTCAGTAAATTCATCGCCGAGCAGGAACGTTTCATGTTCACCTCTCCACCTGTATCACCTGTATCCGACTTGTACTCGCAAACTTCTCCATTCACGCAAGACGACTTTGAGCCATCCGTTCCGGTACTGCGCACGTCGTTTCCATTGTTGGTCAAGCATATTCACCATAGGATCGGCCCACCTCAATTTAGGCCTTCCCGGCGCTCGCTTGTGATCCAATATGACCCAATTCGTTAGCCGGAAGGTCCACCGGTTGACTTTCATTCGTGCCACATGACCGGCCCATTCTCGTTTACGTTTATACACTTCCTGGACAACATCAACAAGGCCACTTTGTTTTCGCAACTCTATGTTTGTGATGTGTTCACGAAGTGACACCTTGCAAATTCTGCGTCCCACTGATCTTTGCATCCCAGCGAATTTCTTTTAGTGTGCCTTCGTAGACGACACACGACACAGCATTCCGCGCCATACAACATCGAGGGTATCACGGTCGAGCGGAACAAAGACGCTTTCACTTTCATCGGGAGGTCTTCGTCTAACAATAACGTTGAGATTTTGTTGAAGCTAGGCCAAGCTGCTTTCCTGCGCCTGCTGTACTCTTCGGTGCTGCCTTCTAAGAAGCTGAGCTGGTGTCCGAGGAATTTAAAGCTTTTCGCTTCCTCGATAGTTTATTTTGAAAGTCGCTGTAGGACTGAACTGTGCATCCACTTCATTTTTGACAAATACATTTCAAGTCCGATTTCGCTCGATTTCATCTGTAGCTGCACAAGTTTCTCTTGGAGCCCTAGAGCATCATGTGCAAAAATGACGCAGTCGTCAGCAAAGAGCAGATGAGTCAGGTGTTCTCCGTCGATCTCCATACCTCCGGTCTAGTCAAGATCATTGAACAGGGCTTCCAATGTTAGTGCAAACAATTTCGGAGAAATCGTATCTCCTTGTCGTACGCCCTTGCATATTTTATTTGACATGGATCATTGAGGAGCTTTATTTCTGTGGTACAGCCACTATTCACTTCTTCGAGAACGTCGACATAGCACGAATTGAAACCGTACCTGCTCATCGCATTTAATATCGCGTTTGCTTCGACCGAGTCGAATGCTTTTCTGTAGTCAACAAACGCCATACATAAGGGAATCCGATACTCTCCACATTTTCCGGTAAGCTTACGTNATCTGTTTTACTTTATGCTCCACTTCTTCTCACATGACATCTGGGATCGGTTCTTCTGCAGTGGTATGAACGGCTCTTGCGACTACCGCCTTTGAGGAGTACAATTCGTTAGAAAAACTTAGTACATTTTCGTTAATCCGAAGGCTGTTGGTTGTCCTGACACCTGTACTACAGTCCTCGAGAGCAGATAGAATGTAATGCCTAAGGCGAATAACCCTTCCTACGGCTTTTAAACTAACCCTTCTTTCAGCCGCGGAGTTTCTTTTGTCTGTAGCCTTCATAGTCGCATTTAATCTTTTTCTTTATCGCTTCGCAGAGTTCCCTGTAATCCGCGCTTTACACTCGTCTTCTGCTTTCATGCGCGCTCTCTCCTTCATCATTTGCACTGCTTCTGGAGTTATACGCCGTCGCCTTGCTGGTTCCGTTGCTGTGCTCGATGCCTTCACGGCCTGCATATTTTCTCCACTAGATCTTCGTAGTCAGCACCGATGCTATTATCAGTATTCATCTGTATCATCTTTGCTGTTGTTCTGCAAACTCAATTGGACGGCTTCCTCTTTCGTTTCTTACTTCTACACCGTACCTTCCTAAAAGGTAATCCGTACCGTCCAATCGGGATCCGACTATGTACGGCGTTTACGTCACCTTGAACAATAGTGTACGTCGATTTGAGCCTCAAAGCCCTCTCTATTTTCTCGTAGAAACGCTCAAGTTCGTAGTCTTCTGCTGGTGCAGTGGGCGCATGTACTTGCACGACTTTGAGCGTTCGATCCCCCAGCTTTTGCAACTTGATCTTCAGAACCGCAACTCGTGGGGACTGAATATCGCAAGAAGTAACATACGGGGTCATTTTCGCTTTCACGATAAAACCGACTCCACACAGCTCAAGCACTTGGCTAAGACTGCTCGTGCTCTCCTAGTTTCGCAAACACCGACGATGTCGGCTTTGATCTTCTCCTGCTGTTGCAGGTATATGTCTAGAAGAGAGTCCCGTCGATAATGTCACGACGTTGTGAGAAGCGATGTGTATTCTGATGCATCCGCAGTCCTTATTCCGCCCCTGCCTTACGCCGAGGTGTGGGCAGAGTCGGGGCATCCTCGCACGCCCAGCTCAGGTCCAAATCATACCATTTTCAAAGTTTTTGCCGGTTTTTTTTGCAGCAGTCCATTCGGGTTGGCGGCCCTCTTGTCCTATAGCTGCTTTGTTCACTCGATTATTCGCGACTGCTCATTTAATATATTCGCAGCTAACCGCCACGATGGACGGCCGTTCCTCAATCCACAACCTGAGAACGTGCCAGATGGCTTCGAACACGAGCTTACTGGGTTTCATATTGGCCAGTCTAATATGTAAATTATATGGGTACTTTCGTGCGTCCGGGGAAATGCGCGGCGAATTGCGCGAAAAAGTTCATGGGGATTTTGTCGGGCGGCGCCTACCACTGCACCACAGGTACAAATTCAGGAGGCTTAATAGGATCAGCCGATCCTACTAGTCTACTCTACTTCAAATTTGGACCAGGATGACAGGCGCTGAAGTCGTCAAAATCGCCATGAACTTCGCCGCGCGTATTCGCGCATTCGTATCGATTTCATCTCCGCACGAATGGTCCGTCGCCCTGTTTTAAGCCCTCAACGTACTTCTTTTGACTTGGTGATTGTCAACTGCTTTACACGAAGCAAAAGTCTCCCAAGATTGGCGAGTTATTACGATTTAGCGATGGAGTTTTGCCCAAGGATTGCCAACCGTGTGACACTTTTTACTATATTTTATTCAAAGCAATGCCAAGATTTATTGAGAGTCAAAGTTGGGTACTCTCGCTATAATTCATTCAGGAGTCATTGTATTTCTTTTATATTGTCGTTTGAGAATTTTGTTCAGCCGATCTAATCAATGCCGTTCTTCAAATGCAGCACTTGCCAAGAAACAGAACAACGTCCAGTATTAGCATTTTTGTTCGCCATGAAATGGAGAAAGGTAAATAACGAAACCAAATTTGCAAAAACTCTATTAACAAATGGCGTACAGAATCAATAGCTCTAATTGCTTTAAGGACTCTACAAGTACGAGAAACTTCTAGCCAAAGAATTAGGAAGGAAGAGCATCAAGGATCTCAACTGGGGCGACCCTACATACGTTGTGATAGATATTGATAACCAGCTGAGTCGGCAAAATAGAAGGTGAAGGAAGTCACTCACGAATTCAAATCGCATTACATCAGTTATTGTGAATAATGAATTACGTATAAAAATAAAAGGTTTAAAGCTAACCTCGAGCCAATAGTTTGTCTCAATCTCTGTCTCATTGTCTCAATCGTTTTCGTGACTCTGACCGTCAAGAAACTTCTGCAGCAATTTCACCTTCTTCGGTCTTGTGGTTCTCTTTATACGAGCCGCTCGACAGAAGTCGGCTAGAATAAGCCTTTTAGAGTCCCTTTACCCGATAATTCATTGGTAGGACCTTCGCTCACTGCAAGACTAGAAATCTTTCTTCAATCCACATGATCTAATCGATTGCAATGCCCCACTCTATCACGTCCTCCTCTACATTCACAGAAGTAATATAGAAGGGAAGGGGTAGTAGTTTAGTGTTCGACTTCCATTCTCAAACTCATTCTTTTCACAGAAAAGTGAGCGGCCTACCGAAAGTATTGTATATTTCCTTCTGGGACTTGGTGCTGCAATTGCTGAAAACAGACTGACAGCACAGCTGTGTGACGAACTCGCGAGATGGTTAATAGTCTTGCTTCAGGATCCATGGGAATAAGCTAGCACATTCAAACGCTGTTTAGGCGTCGAATACGCCTGATTGCTAGGTATATTGCACCAGAAACCTCCGTTTTTTGCTTTTAAAATGGGATTGAATTCAAAAAATGAGGGAAGGAAAGGATGGCGTACCGATTCGCCTAAGTTTGCGGTTTTCGATAACCGCAGAATTGCCTGAATCAATGGATTGGGTTGACAGCATTTCAGGATCTTCCTCCTCCGAGACGGGACAATCATATGGCGCGGTGAACCGCGAGTTCTTTTTGTTATACTAGGGCTCAATTCGTTTTGATTTTGGGACATTTCGAGTCAGGAGAAGCTGGTTGCCCAATCCTGCGAATGCCCAATATATTTCGAATCTCAGAGAGCACCAACTCTTATCAATAAATCTGTGAGAGAAGTCGAGTGAAAAGGTGAGAGATAGCCCTTAGCGATCACTTTACGCGCTTAACTGTTCTCAGTGATGAAATATCAGGGGTGTAAGGCCGAAATTTAGTGCAGCCAAGCTCTGTCGTGGCCGACCACGACTTTTCTGTTTTTCTTATTTCTCATGGATTACCTGCCGTAGTCATATTCTCATTCGGTAGGTATTCCATGAATTCGTCTCCTATGTGTCCTGTCACAAGTACACTCTTGTTTGACGATTTGTGAATGCTGTTAAATGTGAAATGTTTATTTACGTATGCGGGCGCAGGAATGCGTTATATCGAGCTTTTGGCACCATAAATCGCTTCCACCGACCGAGATAATTTTTGACAAAAGGATGACTACAGTGCTCGCCGTAAAAACGTAAATTTTGAGGGTGCTAACGTCAGGTATTTATAAGTTTACCGACTGGTACACCACATTGGAAGTGGCAACATTAGTAACAAAAGTATTAGAACCGACAGGATCAGAAGAAATTGCAGTGGGTTGTGCTGGAGCAGTGTGTTCGTAAGCATGACCAACGTTAACAACAGTATCAGACATAATCTCATCATTGTTCTGGATAGAAGTATTATGAATACTCACTGACTGAGGATTAGCGAGACTGGAACTAGATTTCTTCATCTTTCTTAGCTCTCTTAGACGTATTCTTTCTGAGAAAGGGAAGGATGAACGTAAATATTCCACGACTGAAAAAATTCTTCAATAAAGGAGCACGTGATAAAATTTGTCCCTTAAAATAAGAACCTGGTAGAACGACTTTAACTAAGCGCGGATACTCGGGATTGGACATTTCCATACGATAGAAGGTAATTTGTGCACATTCGATACCAGAAAATTGAAAAATTTTCCTGATGCGATCGACCAAGTATGAAACTCTTTCGGTACAATCAGAAGCATTATCTTCAGCTAGACTAAGAATGATAATCGATCTAGACATTTCATAATCAGCACAACAATCAGATTTGAGCTTAGATTCGTGAGAACCCAATGCACACGGCAAAACGTCACAATTATTACTAGTGGACAAAGCTTTCTCAAAAGTTTCTATCTCATCTCTCAAACGAGCGGCGATGTAGCGGCAAACTCGAGTCTGCATTGAGTAGACCAATCGCGGCGATCAATGTTGCTGAACCATGATCCTCGGCGGGTGAAGTGATGGGCTGCCTTTGCACGACGATCCTTTAAAGTACAAGCACTCAGTGGAGTGCCCATCATAGAAAAGAAAAGCCAAGAGAAAGGACCGTTATCGGTGGCAGAATTTGCTAAGAATCTTAGCTGGCCACAAGGAGTAACGTGATCAAGAATCAATCAATGTGCCAGTAACGGCTTCCTTTGAACCACTTGAACACTGACCGGTTAAGGTATCAAAAAATAGCGTGAGTTATAGCGATGCTGCCACAGAGGCGCACGGAAATGAATAAATAAGCAGAACTTGTAACAGAAAAATTCAAAAATCGAAAAACAACGAGCCGATTACGTGATAGAGAATTCACAGAACTGAGTGAATGGATAGCTCGACACGGAATAGAGCCAACAAGTAGAAAACTCCGGCAGTAGAAATCGAAGGACTGCTAGAACTTAGGGGAAAGCAGTCATTGGTGGACTGCACGAGCAAAACCGCGACCAGTCGATCGAATCCAAGCATTCAGCATTTATCACTGAGAAAAGAGTAGTATTCATCTGCGCTTTGCTAAATACTCTGAATTTGTGCTCAGAAGTGATATTTTGATGTTATACATTACCTATAACAAATCTTCATCAGTATTAAGACAATTCTTCAGTCAACAAACAAACATCAGCTAAGAATTTAATTCACGATACAACTATGTAAACATTTTTGCAGCAGGGTACTTTTACAATCCCACCAGAATACACACTATCGCATTTGTATTCCAGATAATACTATTGCTATCAAAAATATGTACAGTATCGGCCGAATAATGCGATAGCATTCACAATGACGGACAACTAGTGCGCTAAACTACTTGCGAAAAAGTCCAAAGTGTTTTTACATTCTCTTGTTGTGGAAAGAAAAGAATACCGCGGCAGACGTGGTTATGAGCAAACCTGAGAAGCTCCTCAACGAATTTCTTCTGCCTTTGTCCCTTTGATATCCAGCCCCACTTGCTGTTGGCCCCACCAACTCCTTTTCTACCACTGCCTGTGCATAAATGAGATTTAGTATTTGTTTGAAGGTTATTGTATAATACCTCTCGGGAAGGCCTGTGGAAGCCCTCCATCATTAGTGGATCGTGAACCCACATTCCGCGAACGACCTCTGACGGATGACAAGCCCGAAATCCCCCTCCCAGTTCTCATTTGCCTTGTGAAATTCCTGAAAAGAGCCTTATGAAATTTCGAAGGCTGCGTGCTCAGTGGCGCGACTAAAAGACGGTGGGGCACTGCGAGTGCCTGCGAGATTGCGCGAAACTGCGTGACGAAGCAGTGGAATCAATTGTGTTCGTCAAAAAAGGTTCTAGTTGCCGGCTTTTTCGCGAAGGCTGTCTTTAGAAGAAGTTTATCTCTGGTCGGTATGAATGGAGCTACGTATAAATCCTTCCCCTTTGGCATGAATGGACGGTGCCTTCATTGAAAACCCCTAGTATTGAGTAGAATTGGGACAAAGATCCTCTATTTAGTACTATTGGAATCTGCTTTTATCGGTCGTCGCACTGGATACCAAACCTTTTGATTTTTTTCCCATTAGCTGACTCTCTCACCATTCAACCGTTCCATCACCGTGACACTCTTCAGCGACTCAAGTGCCGCTGATTGCAGTGCTTCGCTGCTGAAGTATATCCTATTGGCCTCATCAAGAAGCATGAAGGACTCCCGACCAGCGCTGCATGCGCAGCTCGTACGATCCTAAATTAGAGAGCAAAGTTCTTCTCAATAAGTTTTTGTTTTCAAATTATACAACTAAACTTTTGCACCGGGATAATTCCTTCATCTGCTCTCACTCCGACTTTTGCCTGAGCCTTTAAATTACATTCCAAGCGCTGTCTCTTCTACCCTTTGTAGGCTGTATTATATGCCCGATCATTTCGCAAATTTCGGTTAAAACATGAAAAATAACTTACATCTACTAGATCTATCTGAAGATTTCTGCAACCCCCATAATGGGAGGTCGCGAAGTTTTTCCATCGCTCCGCCCGATTCCGTTCCACGACAAGCCTCCGCGCAGAAGCTCTCGGTGTTGAACGGAACAGACAGTCGTAAGGATGACCAAGATTCAGAGGGTCGATTATGAAGCGGTCATGCGACAAGTGACAGATTGGTGCTTGCTGTGGATATACGGTTTCACGGTTACTGCCTTCAACGCCCTAACCCTCAGCACATGTAAAGCGCCGCTTATTTGTCCACCAGCATTTTTCTGAAAGTTGCTTTTATAGCACACTTCATAGTGAAGCGGAGATATCAGTACTGCAATGTCCTTGCCTCCAGGCCGGGAGAACTGAAGGAAACTGGCGTCAATTGGATGGTTGAAAATCCATGGTGTGTCAGAATATTTTACTTGCAGTACTATTCAAGGTTACGAATTTCCTCGCAGAAGTCCATGCGATTTTTCCGGTCTACTTCGGTGGTTTTAAACACAAAACGCGAAAATTTCATATTCTCGCCCAGATAAGTTTTTTTAAACACGAGGCACCAACTGAATCTAAGTTGTGCTACCGATCGTCGGGTAAATTCTGGTCAGCTTAGCGGAAGTGAAGTATGCTCCGAAATTGTATGCAACTGTTTGAATGCGTGTCTGTTGTAAAACGCATATATGTATAGTGTGCATGTGCGCAGCCTTCTTGTTGTTCGAAAAAAAAAGATTATGCCGATCGTTTAGTCTTTCTACTTGGCTCATCCATTGAAGGGGACTGCTACTGGCATGATTTTTATAGAGCAGCTCCCAGAAAGTTGTGACCAAGCGCGATGGGTTACCTGCAGTTTTTTCTTCTTTCGATCACAAAACGAAATTTCTCAGTAGTCACAGTGGTTGTCACACAAAGCCGTACACAGAAACATGTGAA